CTTAATGCAAGAAGGATGTTTCCAAGGAGTTGATCTCCTTTGGAATGCTCTGTAATGTTTGTTGTCAAGTCTTTGTGACTTTGTGCACAATCATTAGAAGAGGATCAATGCATATAAGTTTTGAATCTAACAGATTTTGGTAAATGGCATGAATTTGGAATTCCTGCATTTGTGGTAAGGATTCGGGACTATGAAATGAGAATCATTGGAATTAACTTAGAGGTCAAAAAAACTCTAGTGGAATAAACGAAATCGGTAAAAAACCCCCTCGATGGTCATACAAATTAATAAACGAGTTACACCAAAATTTTAAAAAACGACGAAAAGAACAAGGCATAATACAAGGGCTGGGACACCAGCTTCGAACAAGAAAATATAAATATATAAATTTTTTAAATCGTTCGAGACGAACTTTAGAAACTTTGAAACAGTCTAATTTAAATAATTCCTCAATCTATCTATTTGACAAAGTATAGACCATAGACAAACGTAGTATGCATACTTAGTATATGGCATGACTAGTGTTTATGAAAACATAGTGTACATGCTTGGAGCATGGGGCAACTATTGTTTTAATTCAAGTATAAAGTTGATAGTTTGAAACAATATGCAATGAATAGTGTGTAACCGATATGGTGATAAATAAAAGGTGTTTTATTTATATTCATAAGTTCTGAGACGATATTGGATTCAATTATTCTTGTGTTTCACTTTGCATGTTTTGGCATCTAGAATACCTAGGTTGTTCTTCCTGATTGACTAAGTTATTCAAACCATCCACAGTCGGTCATATGTTGGAAGTAGATGTGACTCAATACTATCATGGTTTCGCTTGTAGAGGTCTAATGTAACAGCCCGGAATTTCAGGTATTGTTTTAAAACTATTTTTGGGGACGTTTTAGGAAGGGACTCGGCGAGTTGGTGCCTGACTCGCCGAGTAGGACCACGGACTTGGTCGCAGATTCGCGACTGGACTCGACGAGTCCATTAGGGACTCGGCGAGTCGACGCTGTTCAGCAGAAACCCTAGCCGTTTGGTTTTGGATCGTTTATAACGCCTCTTAGGCCGTCATTGTTCGTTTTTGCTTACTAAGAAGAACCCTAGAACGATTGTGTGCATCTGGAACAAGGATTGAAGACCATTGTTGGGTTTGGAAGAGTTGTGTGCAAGGAAGAGGAAGGTTTAGCTAAAGGAACAGCAAGAGAATCACGTTCTGAGGATTGGGGACACAGAAAGTGCATCAATCAGGTAATATCTTGGATTTCGTTCTTCTGTGATTGATGTGTATATGAAGTTAGGGTTTATAGAACCCATTTGATGATTAGAGGGATTATTATGTTGTTACCCAAGTGTTTATACCCCAGTAATAGGATGTTTAGAGGTCCAGATAGTCCCATGAGTGTGTATTTCGGGACCATACGTGTTTCAGGAAGCAGTTGATCGACTGCATGGCATGGACTCGCCGAGTCGGATGAGCAGACTCGGCGAGTAGCTTGAAGATTCACTGGGACTCGCCGAGTTGTTCTTCAGACTCGGCGAGTGGAGTCGGGGTGGCCCCGCGATTCTTCCACGAAGACCTCGTCGAGTCAAGAGGGATACTCGACGAGTAGAAGGGGAACAACAGGGAAATTTAGGGAGGACGTCTAGACTCGCCGAGTCGCCTTTGCACTCAATGAGTCCGGTCAAGTTGACCGTTGACCAGAGTTGACCTGCATGTAAATTCTTAGGGTCGGTTGTCTTAAATGATAAGAGTATTAATAAGGGTATATGGTATTATAGGGAGTCTGCAGATCGGCGGATCGAGTGCGAGTAGTTTCAAGAGTTGATAGCTTACATTGCCACGAGGTGAGTCTTCTCACTATACTGTACCCGGAAGGGTTTGACTGTGTGACCGGAAGGTCGGATATATTATGTGTTATATATATGCTATGATTGAAAGGAATAGTTGCTATGCATGCTATGTATATTTCTATGGGCCGGAAGGCAATATATTATGTGACAGGAAGGTCAGGTATGATATATGATATATGTGATATATGTGTTAGAGTAAATGTATTATGTGTTATATATATGTTTACGGGCCGGAAGGCAAACATGTTATGGGCCGGAAGGCAATTAACTTATGGGCCGGAAGGCAATTATCTTATGGGCCGGAAGGCAATTATCTTATGGGACGGAAGGCGATTATCTTATGGGCCGGAAGGCGATTATCATATGGGCCGGAAGGCATTGTACTGTGGACCGGAAGGTCCGGGCCTGGAAAGGCGTATATGTGTAAGTGGTATACTGGGGAACTCACTAAGCATTTATGCTTACAAGTTGTTATGTATGTGTTTCAGGTACTAGCGAGGACCGTGGGAAGGCGCCGGCATGATGCATACACACTGCTGCTATTTAAGATCTTGGGGATTCTATATTTGTATTTGATATGAACATGAAATAAATATGATTGGTTGAATGAAACCACTTTATTTTAAATGAAAATTTGCATTGTTACATCTAAGATGTTGGAAAAAGTGGTGCTACAACACTCATGAGTGATCATAAGTTCTAAGTATTGGATTCAACCCAGGCTCGTTGGAATCACTTCATGGATTTTATCACGAGTGATCATGAGACGATAATATATTATATTCTTCAAACCTAGAGATATGAGTTGTTACTATGAGTTGGTTATACATTGATCACATGAAACGCATTGGTAACTCGATTTATAAAACGTGCCTTTGTGTATGATTCAATAAGTAGTAGAACAAACCATATGAGTCGAAGTTTATCCATTCCTTTTACCTTCGGGATAAAAGTGATATCTGTGGCCTACTGGATGATTTAATGATGATACATGTGGGTGCATGGCCAAGCCAAGACTGATTTGATATGTTCAGTAAGTCAGTTATCATGAATCGGAAATCGGGAAACAACAAATGGACAGAGAGAATGATTTATAATCCATGTCCCAGTCCATATGATATCTAGAATGGAGGAATATATGATCCCTTATCTAATGGACAAGTCATTGACAAAGGTTAGAGTTCATCGACAAGGTTAGAGTTCGACAACGGCTTTTGAGAGCTACGATTTCCATTTAGGTTTTGAAGTCATACTCAACAATAGTTTTAGACTTATCCAAGTGGGAGACTGTTGGATTAGTGTCTAAGTCCATAACTATATTTGGTATGTACTTGACCTGACTCGACATGGTCCATTTGGGTTGCATGGCATCATGCATTTGGATAGACTAAAATGAGAAAAATAACACTTAAGGTTTGTTAATATATTATAAGTTCTGATATATAAATAAGATTATTTAATTAGTATTGATCAAGAATTAATTTGGAATTAATTAAGTGATCAAAAGGATACTAATTAAATATATGGGTTGATTGTGTAAATCATCAATACTTGTATAGTGGGCTAAAGCTCCATGGATTATCACGTTGGGCAAAAACCCATAGGATACTCCACGGTGTTTTTGTACCCATGGATCTTGGAAATGAAAGGCCATGACAATTAGGGTTTACATGGTGTAACCCTAATTATGACACAATATATAAGCATCTTATTCTTGTCAAAATCAGAAACCATGAGAGACTATGATGGAATGGCGAGGGCTAGCTAATTTCATGAAGTATATCATTTCTCTCTAAGTTATTCCAAGTGCATTTGATGTCGTGTGAACCATTTGAGGTGTCACACTTGGGGCACTAAGCTCTCGAGCATCATGGAGTCAAGCTACATCAAGAGGTATGTATTCTAACTTGTTATATTACCCAAGTATCAAAAGATTGTATGCTAGTTAGGGTAATACCTTGGAATATTCATATTTACATGTATAATAGAGAAAACACAGATCCAAGGTATTTAGGGTTACATGTACACTTAGGAGTGTTAGAATGCTCATAACCCAACAATAGTTTATTATGGTGTGATGGTATCACCCATGGATGGCATTCGGGTCGTTGGTCAACATGGTATTTGCTTATGGTGTCCATGGATGACATACGAGTCATTGGTCAACATGGTAGTTCCTTTTGGTGTGATGGTATCACCCATGGATAACATATGGGTCATTGGTCAACATGGTAGTTGCTTATCGTGTGATGGTATCACCCATGGATGACATATGGGTCATTGGTCAACATGATATTTTCTTATGGTGTCCATGGATGACATACGAGTCATTAGTTAACATGGTATTTGTTTATGGTGTTTATGGATGACATACGAGTCATTGGTCAACATGGTAGTTGCTTATGGTGTGATGGTATCACCCATGGATAACATATGGGTCATTGGTCAACATGGTATTTGGTTATGGTGTCCATGGATGACATGCGGGTCATTGGTCAACATGGTAGTTGCTTATGTTGTCTATGGATGACCTATAGGTCATTGGTCAACATGGTAGTTGCTTATGGTGTGATGGTATCACCCATCGATGACATATATGTCATTGGTCAACATGGTATTTGCTTATGGTGTCCATGGATGACATACGGTTCATTAGACAACATGGTAGTTGCTTATGGTGTGATGGTATCACCCATGGATGACATATGAGTCATTGGTCAACATGGTAGTTGTTTATGGTGCGATGGTATCACCCATGGATGACATATGGGTCATTGGTCAACATATATCATTTATGCCGGTTGTGGGTTAAAATTTTAATTTTTCAAATACTTAATTTTGAAGGAAATATTAATTTTTTAAATAATTTTATTAATAATTTATGGTCCCCAATTAATCCCCGTCGAGCCTGATTAATCGCTTATCGCCAGTTGACTGCCGCACTACTACCGAGTGGTTTTTACAACCTTGATTAAAATAGAAATTGATTTTTGTTTTAATTATTACTTTTGACAAAACTACTCTTACTAATTAAATATGACTCATTGTATGTATTAGGACAATTTGGTCATCTTCTAATGGAACAACCCCAATTTAAAAATTCCAACAAAGAAAGAACCCTAAAATTATCATAGTTATTGTTTATTATTATGGATGTCAGTACTTCTTCTAAGATTCAATCAAGAAATCAATGGAAATCGCTAACACACATGCCATTTGAAGTGATGGAGAAAATAATAGTCGACTTGGCAAAAATTTCAGTAGTCGAAGCTATCAGGATGAAGAGTGTGTAAGTTTTGTCTTCGATCATTCTATTTCACAAGTGTATTTGAGTTGTCTTTACATTATGGAGCGAATATTGTGTTTCGTTTGCAGTTGCAAATTCTTCAACGAGGCAGGAAAAACGGATGAAGTATATAAACATATGGAGTTAGATGGATTACGATTTTGTGGTTGGTCTGACCAGAAACATGCAGTTGTCAAAAAACGCATAGAGATGAGAAACCCAAATATTCTATTCAGGAATGGATTGGTACGTTGTTATATATATATATATATATATATATATATATATATATATATATATATATATATATATATACATAGTAGTAATTAATCTGTTTCTTGTTTTGCATAACTTTAACTAAAAATTATGTGTTTAATGTTTTTTTTTTTTCAGATGAAGTTATTTTTTTAGAAGCTGAACATGTAGGGAAAACGATGCTTGAAAAGCATCTGTATTGGGACATTTTGATTCAATATTTGTCCTGGGAATGATGTTGATGGCTGAAGGGAGACATAGGAAGCAAAAAGCTTTGGACATGTTGAACAATGTTTACCGCAGAGCAAAAGGTAAGTGGAATCTTAGAGCAACTTGTTCTAAGGTTCATCTCAACTTAAATAGGGAGGGGAGGAAACATGTACACTTCCATGGCTTCCATAGATCTTGTGCATTTCATAATTATGTAATTAGTGTGTCAAATGCTTCTGTGAATGGATACAAATGAGTGTTTATGTGTGAAATTTGTTTGTGAGATGCTTGTTTCGTTAGGTTTTCTAGGGAGTTTGGTATAACTTATGAGTAATTTGTTGATATGTACTTTCATATTATGACAATTAATGCTATGTACATTCTTTTAGTTTAATATATGAATATATAGTAATTTACTTGATAAGTAATTAGTTGATGTTGTTACTTGATTAGTAAATATGTGTTGTTAATAAGGGACTAAAAGAGTAAAAGTTTGGAATGATGTTTGAATGATGTTTGAATAATGTTTGAATAATGTGTTTTGGACTTTCAATATTAGTGTTTATATTGTATTGTGATTATAGTTGTATGTAGCAAATTTTTGTTCTTTCCTAGTATTAAATACATATAAAATACAATTGTAAAGGCATAAACATACATGTATTTTATTTTGGATTTGGTAATTTGGTTTAATATCAACTAGTGGAGAACCCATGCTTTGCATGGGGTAAAATTGTAGAGTAATAAACATAGGGACTAAAAGTGGCAACAAAGAAAAAGTATTGTGGTTAAAATCAAATAAAAAATAGTTACTATAAACATAGGGACTAAAAGTGGCAATAAAAGAGAACTATTGTGTCTAAAATCTAAAGTAAAAAAGTTTACTGTTAAAATCTTGTTCCACTTTTAATATATATATATATATATATATATATATATATATATATATATATATATATATATATATATATATACACTAGTAATTTGGTGAAATGTTGATATAAATGTATTACATTATGGATTATGATATATATGTTATTTTTATCTTTTTTATTTCAACAATCAAAAGTCCACTGTTACCTAGCTATAAAATGTTATAATATTTGAATAATGTGTTTTGACACAAATACCCTTAGTATTCACATATTTGGAATGATTTTAGGGACAATTTGGTCTTTTTCACTCTAAATTGTTAAGGCACCATCATACCTCTGATGTTATGCCGGTGTTCCAATTTTTCAACCATTCAGAACATCTCAACTTTTCCGGACGATAAATCTACATACAAACACTAAAACCCCCAAATCGTCGATGGATAATCGTTCTCAAAAACGATTTTCTCCGATAATACAGACTCCTGTACTCCTCTCGACCAGATCAGCATAAATTAAGTTTTTTTCCATACCCTGTTACCCTGTCTTTCATAGTTACGCTTAATTTAAAAAAAGAAGAAGTGAAATCAACTACTCTGATGTGTATGTTGTAAGTAGAATGTCGAATACTAGAAGTCGTCGTTCGTTAGATGATCTCCCACTAGAGATTTTGAGTCGAATATTTATAGTATTAGGGTCAGAATTTGCGAAAGACATCGTCTCTGCAAGACTTTGGTAATTCTTAATAAACATCAACTAATGAATGTATATTTTATTAAATACAACTTTATTTATTTGTTATTTACTGTGTATTTAAATTTTTGAAGTTCAAAGAAGATGTATGAAGTGAGGGGTGATCCTCAAGTGTACAAAACATCATGCATTGACATGTTTGAAGGAATGGGTCCCAAAAATCTGTAAGCTGATTTATTTATATGCACATGTGCATTGCATAATAACATTGAAGCCATGTTCAGAAATGGAACTGTATGTGTAGTCTCAGTAATTATATGTAATATATACCATTTATTAATATTTAGTGTCATTAGTGTTATTTATTGATATTGTTATTGTATCAACAGGATGAGTGCTTTGATTATCATAATTTTGATTTAGGATTGACTTTGTTGAGACAAGCAGCATATGAAGATCATCTTGAGGCAATTTATTTGCTTGGAATGGTCTACATTTCAAGAGTGCATCATCAATGTGATGAAGGTATGTATATATGGTATATATGTAAATTAAATTATATATATAGTTAATTAAGGCATGTTTGTAGTTTGGGGTTAGTATTTAGTTGTGTTGTGTTGTATAATATATAATGTTGTATTGAAATGGGTACATTGGATTAATTGATGGATATTTTAGTGTGTAGGTTTACAATTACTTGATGCCTATTTTGGTTGGGCAGTTCCGAATGACGGGGAGTACACGGGTGTTGTTGATAGTGCTAAAGATTTGTTGCGGGCTGTTGATGTTGTTCTTAGACTTACAACGAATAACATCACATTCCAATGTGAAGACCTACGTCATTCTGTGAAAGGTGGATTGACAATAGGCTATGAAGAGGATGAGGATAGACAAAGATATTGCACAGTTTCTCGTTGGTATGTAGAGTATGGTAGCTTTTTTATATTTCTTAAAAATATTAATGGCTGATAATAGAATGGACATTGAATATTAGTGTTATTATTATATTGTATATGAAGTTGTATAGTACTACTATAAAGTTATTTTGGTTTTATGTTTACATCATTCTGTTAAAAGGGCATTTTAGTTATATTTTCTTGCTATGTTGTTTGAGTAGGATGAAGTATACGTAAAACTCCATGTTATTTTTGTGATGAACTATAGTTAATGTAATTAAAAATAAGTTTGTAATGAATTTGTTATTAAGGAAAATAATCTACATATATTATATACTTTAACATACCCAGTTAATGTAATTAAAAATAAGTTTGTAATGAATTTGTTGTTAATTATTCAATATATACTATGTTTTCAAGAAATTATACACTACTTGATTAGCACAACTGGCTTAACTGAACCCTTTTCTAGCATAAGCTTAAGTTCGAGTCTGCTTGTCAGCAATATCTATTTTATAATTCATTTTTACATTTTTAGCCATTAGTTTATGACACATATTACCAATTCAAAAACATTTCATTCAAACCATATCTTAGAAATTTCATTGATCATAATAATAATTCATCCATAGTATAAGAAGATTAATTAAGCATACAACATCCCAACAAATGTCGTCATAAATTAGCTACATGTTTTGATCCATAGCAAAACAAGCAAACGAAATCATATTCCATAGTAGAATTCCCTAGCAAATACCTACGAATGGTACTTCCGTAGCAATTCAACTATGGAATTGGTTTCCATCACAAACTCTGTTGCATAGTAACCACGATAATGAATTCCATAGCAGCAGTACAACGGAAAGTGATTTGGTAATAAATGTCGTTGGAAAATTGCTATGAAATTTTGTTCCATAGAACTATTAGTAGCATATTACCAACAGATATGGACTCGGTAGCATTTTCCCTGACAATTCCCATTCTCGCTACCATAAATAAAATCCATAGATAATGTGGTAGCAACATTGCTATGAAACGACATTCCATAGCACGATCCATTGCATATTAACAACGAAAATACATTCCATAGCGACCTTCCCTACCAAAATCACATTTTTCATGTAGTGTTTATATCAGTTATCCGATTTTATGCTTCCATGGCCTCTTTTAACCTATCTTCATTCAATTTTGTGGTTTCTTCTAGTTTCGTTTGTGTTTCACTGATTTCCTGTTCTAGTGTACGAACATTTTCCTGCAATTGTTCAGATATCATGAAATATAATAAATCATATTGATCAAGTTCTATTTTTTTAGACTCTAATAGTTCTTTGGTTTCTTGGAGTTGAACTTCCATCTCTTATAAATCAGACTGAAGTTTTTCAAATTCTTTATTTTAGCTTCATAAAAATTTAAAAAGAAAAAAAAGTTATGGTTTTTGTGATCTTATCCTTTAAAGCTGATTGTAGTTGAGTAGTTTCCTTAGTTCCAGCTTCTTCCAATTTAGCCTACAAAAATTGAAAGAAAATGAAACATTAAAAACTAAAAGAAATATTTAAAATAAGTTGTTAGAAAGTTACAAAGCACCAATTGAACTTCAACCGGCTTCGAAGCAGATTGCATTTTTTTTTTCACTTTCCTTCTTTTTAGCTTCCTCTATCTTTGCCTACAAATTTTGAAAGCAAATCAAACAATAAATAAAATAAAATAAAAGGTTAACATTAAGTTTTTGCTTTTTGTAATCTTTTATTTGATGTATATAAAATAATAAAACAAGTTGTTAGGAAGTTATGTATCACCAATTGACTTTCCATCTCCTTTAAACTAGACTCTAGTATAGCCTTTTCCTTATTTTTAGCTTTTTTGCCTCTGCCTATAAAAGGTAAATACAAATGAAATAAAAACAAAAAAAATTAAATAAAACTTAATAACAAAAATATTTACCCTCATGGGTTTCTCCTGTTCTAATCGCATTGTGAGTTCTTTGTGTTCTCTTTTAACTTTAGCTTTAGATTGTTCAAGAGCACGAGTATCTTTTGTAGCCTACACGACATGAAACATTTAAAAGACTCCTTTATAAAGGGAAATATATGTAATTTACTTTCTCTTTTACTCATTCCCATAAGTTGTCATGGATTTCTTTGAACAATTTGTGAGATTTTGATTTTTGATATCAAATTTCATGTTATGTCATGTTAATGACAGTTATGTCCCTACGTATTTACATTTGCTGGTGTTTGAGTTCTTTAAGAATTCATTGTGTGCTGTTGAAGAGCGATTTTTAGATTTAGATAAACTCGCACCTCCTATTCGGATAATAGGATAAAAAATGGTAAGTTAAAATGATTGTTTTGATGTAGGAATACAATCACTCATTCGATTCTATTCCTCTACCATTGATTCCATTTTTCCATAATTATAATATACAATATGTTGTAGGAATGATAACTTTGTATTCTTGCTAAGTAATTGGAATCAAACTCCTGATTTGCAAGCCATGGACAGGGCTCATAGCTTGGGTCAAACTAAAGATGTTAGTTTTCTTACTTTATTTATTTAACTTTTTTATTTTTACCAAAATAACCTTAACAATAATGTATATTTATTGGTTGGTGTAGGTTATAGTGTACAAGTTGATATCCATTGTGCAACAAACCAAATATTACTTATTTGTTGGATGAGTAATGATACCAAGGCTTTGTTTGAATGTATTATCAAATTACATAGTTATGGAAACTCCTTTAATAGCAATGTAATACATTTATTTAGCATTGTAATGATTATTTGTATTTCTCATACTATATATTATGATATTTACTGTCTTTTTCTTTTTGTACGATATGTTATTTTGTATCATCAGATATCAATTGCCATTGAATTTGAAAATAACTAAATCTATACAAAAATATATTTTTTTAAAAACATTTAAAATTATGACACGCAAAAATGTATGTCGTCTTCCTTTATGACATGGGCTTCCTTCATACGCATTGCATGTCATCTATGTGCGTTTTAAGGTTACGACACGCAAATGCGTGTCGTCTTCCTTTTTGACAGGGCCTTCCTTGACACGCATTTGCGTGTCGTCTCTACATCTTATGACACGCAATACATGTCATTAAAGGGTATTTTTGTAGTAGTAAGATAGAGAAACTCACCAGGACATACGTCAAGTATATAGTCAAATTGCACAGTGTGCCAACATCTAATATCCCGGACAAAGAAAGTAGATTCACTTCCATATTTTGATAGTCATTGCAAAGGTTCCTAGGAACAATAATGGACGTGAGTATTTGTGACATCCCCATTTTTCACGGCCAGAAAAGACCAATTTTGTTTATGCTTTATAAAAATCAGAGTTCTTCTTTTAATAAAAATGTTGCGGAATTTGTTCCCAGAAAAACATGATAAATACGTTATTAAAACATTTTCGGAGAAACGTATTTTATTCATTTCAAAACGTTTGGGATGTCATCGTTAATACAGAAACATAAGCATAAACAGAACTTACATTTATTTACACTAGTGATCTACATCTCTTTAAATCTCTCAATGTAAAGTGACTTCGTATCAACACCTGTGCTATAAATAAACTGAGTGGGTCAGGTTGGGAAACCTGGTGAGTACATAGGGTTTTCAACCCACAATAATATAATTATTATTTTCAAACAATCAAACAATCAACCCAATTACCCATCCCCATTATCTACTTTATTCTTAAGGATCTACCCTAAGAATCAACTATTCCTCGTTCATACATTCCTAAGGATCATCCTAAGGAATCGGCACGAAGTCCATCGTCACTGGGGTTTAGGCACTAAGTCTGCATAGTCGCCAGAATTTATACAATAGGCACTAAGTGTGCATAGTCGCCAAGGTTTTGGCACCAAGTGTGCATGATCGCCAGGGTCTACGTATCAAGTCTGCATGATCACCAAGGTTTAGAGTACACCGGGTGAACACATCCTTCACAACACCTACAGGTTGCGAGCCTGCTAGTGTTCCACTGGACTATCTAGGATAGTCCGTGGTTGTCATCCATACTCTGCTGAATGACGGGAACATCGTTTGAGAAAAAGGCTTCTCACATCGTACACCTCTCACCCACACCTTATAGTCTATATCACCTCTCAACTCATCATCCAACTCATATTTTATCTATTATATCTACCCATGTTTTACCCCAACATTTTCGTAGATATAAAATACATATATAGTTTAAATCATTTAAAACATGTATAAAATCTTTCATCAGCATAGACAACAAGTATTCAGACAATATGCACACATAGCACGTAATTTATAATAAAGTAATTCATATCTATGTGTAAGATGAAAGGGACTATGCACTCACCTAAAAGGTGGTGACTCAGCACTCGGACAACGCTTCGATACTCATAAAACAATTTCCTTCGATAAAACCTAGTATCAACACCTCTAGGGTTTAGTCTAACGATAACCGCGACTAATTAATAGTATAGCTATTATTATTATTATATAAGTGTTAAATAACACTCAATATAACTCATAATAATAGCCCAAACAATTATTTTAAGGTCCTAATAATGTTACTATAATTAATTAGAAGCTATATTAAAACTAGCGTAGGCGTAGGTCACTTACAGCGGTTTTTTCGCAAAACCGGGCTTCGCTGGAGCAGCGTTTACCGAGCTGAAAGGCTCTTTTCTCGGAGCCGTCGGGTGCTCCGGGGCTTCCGCCTCGTGCTAGGGAGTTACCCTAGGCTTTGGGGGTTAGGGAGGCTTAGAGAGAGAGTTTAGAGAGAGAAAGAAGGGTTTGAAGGTGTGAGAATGAATGGAACCCGGCACCTCTATTTATAGGGGTGCTGACTGGCCTACTCGCCGAGTAGGGGGGACCTACTCGCCGAGTTGGTCCATGTGTTGGCCATCTGGTGGTGCCACATGTCTAATTCTGGTGGTGCCACATCACCCCCTATCGCGTATCAGCCTTCAAACTTAGAAAAATCATAACTTTCGCATACGAGCTCCGTTTTCGACGTTCTTTATATCCACGCGTAGGTAAAATCAAGATCTACAACTTTCTTTAGACTCCATCGGCTAATTCTCGACTGATCTCAAATTTAACAGTAGGAGGCGTTTAGACTGTTAAATGACCGCGAAGAATTCATAACTCCTTCATACGGACTCCGTTTTCGTCTGTATTTTTACCGTTGAGTTCCTATTAATGTGATCTTTAACTCTCATTTAGGTCGCGTAAGCCAAAAACCGCTCGAACTAAAATTCGAGTTTCGGGCTGTACACTGCTAAGCCGAATCTTAGAAAATCATAACTTCCTCATACGAAGTCAGATTTGGGCGTTCTTTTTATCGACGCTCTTAGTTTAAAATATTCTACAAATTTCATTTAGATCACTAAGGCTAAAAAGTCCTCCATCGTAAATTCACTATTTACGCTTCCCGGTGCCGTGCCGGTTTTGCCGTAAAGCTTCGACAGGCCATAACTTCTTCGTTATAACTCGGATTTCGGCGTTCTTTATATGTACGGAAACCTTGTGACATATTCTACAACTTGGTTAAGATTATTTATTCTAAATAATCTTTTGTCGGAAAGTCATTTTCGACCCCTATTGCCTCTAAATTGACTAGCCCAGATCTACGAGCGTTACAATTATCTCCCCCTTAGGATGATTACGTCCCGAAATCATCAACGAAACTGGACAGTATAATGACTCCATACGTTCTTCATCCTAGGTAATAACTGTAACTTCTATGTTGCTTCGAACGGGTATCTAACTCTTGGACTCCTTGATTGCAGGCGGTGCTTGGTCTAGCACCTGCTCGTTAGACTTTCAATCATGACATTCGTGTCACAAACTCAATCTTTATCAGAGACACCTTCTTCTTCTTAGGATAAGGTAATTTGATTGCTACAATTGACCGATGTGTCATATTCTAATGACCTATTATCGTATGTAACAACGCTTAGACTTAGGTCTCTTAGAGTCAAATTCCGGAATGGAATATGCCTTCCTTCATGGTCTAATGTGATATAATCACATTTTAACATGTAGCATTTTTATCTACCAACTTCTTTAACAACGAGCGCGATACTTCTATTGATCGTTTTGATTTCAATCGTTTGGTTTAATTCGGTCGCTACATTAAACTTCGTTCTCTGAACCACGTAACCTACTCATCGTAGTTGGACTCAATGTGATATAACCACTAGGGTCAGGATAACAACAATCTTCTTAGTCATTACCGAAACAATGGTAACGACATACTTGAATAAAACGAAATCAATTACTAGTTTCTTGGTAACCTTGTGACGTTCCCTGATCCAAGCGTGAGTCCTGTGCTTCCGGTAGTATATGTATCTACTACCTTTCACACCTACTCATACTCGTCCCAAGTAATGTCTCGCAGTTTTCCCAAGTTATTATCACAAAACAGTTTTTAACACATAAAAATGTGTCCAAACAATCACAAAATTTTCCCTAGACCCTACTAGGACTTCTTCTATGCGTATCTTCAATCATCAATTCTGCTTCAGCTCGGTGGACATACCATACGATGGGTCAACTTCATGAATTACGCCAATTATTCCATCATCCTGTCAATCGAAGGTGTACTTCGGACGTACTGTACTCCTCTAAACGTACTGCATGACATATTCTAAAGGAAAGATACCACTCTTATGATATCTTCCGATAGGTGTCATTCTCTATCGTAAGCTTTTTCATTTCCTCCACTTACTCAATTCTCTATGAGTCCTTATCATGACATTCTATTCTCCAAAGCAAGCGTTTGGTGTATCGAGAAGAGAATATAGATAGAGGAAGAATTAGACACGTATTCCTCCTTATTTCTCCAAAAAGTTACATGCCAGTTCTAATATCGTAATTAAACGTTTAGAAACCTGAGCACATAAAATTTCCAGATCCGGTCAGCAACAGACCATAGATCCGATCATATAATGCATATCATAAATCATTTAGCACATAAAAGCATGTTAGGAATTTTCCCTAAATAAGCTAGTGCTTGTGTCTACTCAGGCGTATTACCTAAATTTTATTAGACACACTCCTCACAATCATTGCTTAGAATTCTAAGTTTAAGTCTAGAAATAAATCCATATTCCTAGTTCGCTTATACTAATTCTCTGATACCAACTGTGACATCCCCATTTTTCACGGCCAGAAAAGACCAATTTTGTTTATGCTTTATAAAAATCAGAGTTCTTCTTTTAATAAAAATGTTGCGGAATTTGTTCCCAGAAAAACATGATAAATACGTTATTAAAACATTTTCGGAGAAACGTATTTTATTCATTTCAAAACGTTTGGGATGTCATCGTTAATACAGAAACATAAGCATAAACAGAACTTACATTTATTTACACTAGTGATCTACATCTCTTTAAATCTCTCAGCGCAAAGTGACTTCGTATCAACACCTGTGGTATAAATAAACTGAGTGGTTCAGGTTGGGAAACCTGGTGAGTACATAGGGTTTTCAACCCACAATAATATAATTATTATTTTCAAACAATCAAACAATCAACCCAATTACCCATCCCCATTATCTGCTTTATTCTTAAGGATCTACCCTAAGAATCAACTATTCCTCGTTCATACATTCCTAAGGATCATCCTAAGTAATCGACACGAAGTCCATCGTCACCGGGGTTTAGGCACTAAGTCT